GGACATTTTTTCAAATCCCCCTAATTTTAATTCCCACCAAACAATCACTAAAACTGATTTCACTTCATTTAAAAATTTAATGACTTTTACATAAACCTGATTATACTTTTCAATTTAAGAAAATAATAATAATAATAATAATAATAATAATAATAATAATAATAATAATAATAATAATAATAATAATAATAATAATAATTTAACACTCACCATAATCGAAACCTACCATCACCAAATTTGGAATTCCATTTCACAAGGAACATTGATTAAGGAATAAATCATATATCGATTAAATACTAAAATGTAAACCAACAAATGAATATAGGAGTTTGGATTACTTTCTTAATAAGATTGACATTTTAAGATGAAATCCCGAATTTTAATATGGTATCAGAATCTATTAAGCTCCAACAACCAATTTGATCCAATTAAAGCTAAAAAATGAACACGCAAATTTCATGATTGATCTATTCAAACAAGCCACCATCTTACAGGAACATGTTAAGAAATAAATTCCACGTCAATTAAATACCCAAATATAAACCTAAATATAAATATAAAGACGTTGGCTACTACTCTTAATAAAGTTGATATTTTAAAATGTAATTTCAAATCTTAATATCCTCAATCATCAAATCGCCATTGGTCTTCAAAGCCCTCATAACATTCTACAGTCGTTGCTTGAAAGCTAAAAATCAGCAATAATCGTCAGAGAACCCCATTTTTGAGATTCCGAAATCTCCAAAAATGACTACCTGAAACTCAATTTCTCAATCTTTATGATTTTTTATTTGTTTCTCTATTAATTTGATATACCTTTAAACAATTCAAAAAATGGCTGTTACGTGCCATTGAAGTTCTGGGTCAAAATCAAAAACTCCAATCAATGGAGAGAGATGAAGAGGAAAACTTCCAAGGTAGTAGTAGAAAACCACAGGGAAAAGAAAAAAATGTGGCCTTACATTCAAAAATAAATGTATCTTTTTTTGGCTGGATTTTAATTGTGTATGTTATATTGATGAATATATTATAATCAATTTTATGTTTTTATATTACTGATTTCGGAAAATTGTTGCCACCAATTTTCAAATTTTGTCTTTCTGATTTTTTGAAACCTTCTTCTGACTGAAATTAGAGAGCTGATTCTTGGACATTTATAGGGGTTTGCGCATTCATTAGAGAATATTATATGAACAGTAATTAGAGTTTTGCTAGTCCTAAAATAGGGATTAGCAAATCAATTTCTGTGTGACCGTTAGTGCTCTTATTTTGGCGAAGCAGATATCAGAAAATCGTTATTTTCCTTCAATGGCTCTCTCGTGTGTATAAGCAAAGCATGGTATAGCTCTCTCGTGTGTATAAGTAAAGCATAGTATCACTTGTACAAAATTAACAAATGAAAAGCTTGTCCCCGGGGTATAGCCCAGTGATGCAAATGACAAGAGTGAGGTTATCTCACGCCTTGCTCGCAGCCGTAGTGTGAGGGTTCAATTCCTGAGACATGAAATTGGACTCCTCATAAGCGCAGTGTACAGGCAGCTCTTGTTCCCTGACCTACTAGGGCACATCCCGCGATTTACCTCCTTCACAAAGCTCTAAGGGCGGG